TTTTTTTTAATTTCAGTGCGATTTTTTGGGGATTTTTTTTGATTTTTGTCGGGTTTCTTTCAAGTTTTTTTTTTGTTTCTCCCCAGGATTTTTGCTGCCATTCTCCCAAACTTTCCGGGATCCCATCGGGATTTCCCGGGGATCCTTTTTTGGGGTTTTCCCCCGTTTTTGCTCACCTGCTGCTGGCCCTGCAGGCGCTGCTGCAGCTGCAGCCGCAGCGGGTTGGGCGCGCTCGGTGCCCGCGGCCGCGGCGCCGCGTTGGGATGCGCCGGGAACGCGCCGCGAGGAGGAGGAGGAGGAGGAGGAGGAGGAAGAGGATGAAGAGCAGCAGGAGGAGGAGGAGGAGGAGGAGGAGGAGGAGCAGCCATGGCCCCCGGGACGCCTCCGAACGGCGCCTTCGGCCTCGGCATTCCCGGGAAATTCCCGGCCAGGCCGGGAGCGGCCGAGGATGAGGATGAGGATGAGGAGGAGGAGGATGAGGAAGGAGGGAAGGGCTGGGGGAACATTCCGGGTTTTTGCTCCAGGAGCGGCGGCGGCGCCGGGTGCGGCTGGAATCGCTCCGGCAGCGGCTCCAGGCTGCCGCCCTGAGCGGGAAAAGCGGGATCAGAGCCGGGATTCCCGGCCCCGATTCCCGGCCCGGCCCAAAAGCCACTTGGAATCAAATCCCAAATTCCCATCCCGGCCCAAATTCCCTTCCCATCCCCAAATCCACTTGGAACCAAATCCCAAATTCCCAGCCCGGCCCCAATTCCCATCCCGGCCCAAAAGCCACTTGGAACAAAATCCCAAATTCCCATCCCGGCCCAAAATCCATTTGGAACCAAATCCCAAATTCCCAGCCCGGCCCAAATTCCCAGCCCGGCCCAAATTCCCATCCCGGCCCAAAATCCATTTGGAACTCATCCCAAATTCCCAGCCCGGCCCAAAATCCACTTGGAACCAAATCCCAAATTCCCAGCCCAGCCCAAAATCCATTTGGAACAAAATTCCAAATTCCCATCCCATCCCAAATTCCCATCCCAGCCCAAAAGCCACTTGGAACCAAATCCCAAATTCCCAGCCCGGCCCAAATTCCCATCCCGGCCCAAAATCCATTTGGAACCCATCCCAAATTCCCAGCCTATCCCGAAATCCCTTCCCGGCTCAAAATCCATTTGGAACCAAATCCCAAATTCCCATCCCGGCCCAAAATCCATTTGGAACCAAATCCCAAATTCCCTTCCCGGCCCAAAATCCATTTGGAACCAAATCCCAAATTCCCAGCCCGGCCCAAATTCCCATCCGGGCCCAAAATCCACTTGGAACAAAATCCCAAATTCCCATCCCAGCCCAAATTCCCATCCCGGCCCAAAATCCATTTGGAACTAATCCCAAATTCCCATCCCGGCCCAAAATCCACTTGGAACCAAATCCCAAATTCCCATCCCATCCCCAAATTCCCATCCCATCCCCAAATCCATTTGGAACACAATCCCAAAATCCCTTCCCGGCCCAGAATCCATTTGGAACCCGATCCCAAAATCTCTTTGGACCCCAATCCCAAAATCTCCTTGTGTCCCAAAATCTCTCTGAAATCCCATCCCAAAATTCCTTCGGTCCCCAAATCCCTCCGGATCCCAAAATCCCATTGGAGCCCAAATTCTTGGAGCCCAATCCCAAAATCTCCTCAGAGTCCAAAATCCCTTTGGAATCCCATCCTGAAATCCCTTCCCAGCCCAATTCCAAATTCTCTTTGAAATCCCAATCCCAAAATCTCCTTGAATCCCAAAATCCCTTTGGAGTCCAAGTCCAAATTCTCTTTTGATCCCAAATTCTCTTTCAAATCCCAATCCCAAAATCACCCTGGATTCCAAAATTCCTTCAGATCCCAAAATCCCTTTGGAGCCCAATCCCAAAATCTCCTTGGATCCCCAAATCTCTTTGGGATCCCATCCCAAAATTCCTTCAGGTCCCAAAATCCCTTTGCAGCCCAATCCCAAATTCTCCTTGGAGCCCAATCCCAAATTCTCTTTGGATCCCAAATTCTCTTTGAAATCCCATCCCAAAATCAGCTTGGATCCCAAAATCCCTTTGGAATCTCATCCCAAAATCCCTTCGGTTCCAAAATTCTTTTGGAATCCCAATCCCAAAATCTCTTTGGACCCCGATCCCAAAATTCCTTTGGATCCCAAAATCCCTGAAATCCCATCCCAAAATTGCTTCGGTCCCAAAATCCCTTTGGATCCCAAAATCTCCTTGAATCCCAAAATCCCTTTGGAATCCCATCCCAAATTCCCTTCCCAACCCAAAATCCCTTCGGATCCCAATCCCAAAATCTTCTTGGATCCCAAATTCTCTTTTGATCCCAAAATCTCTTGAATCCCAAAATCCCTTCGGATCCCAATCCCAAAATCCCTTTGGATCCCAATCCCAAAATCTCCTTGGATCCCAAATTCTCTTTTGATCCCAAAATCTCTTGAATCCCAAAATCCCTTTGAATCCCAATCCCAAAATCTTCTTGGATCCCAAATTCTCTTTTGATCCCAAAATCAAATTTGGATCCCAAAATCCCTTTGGAATCCCAATCCCAAAATCCCTTTGGATCCCAAAATCCCTTTGGATCCCAATCCCAAAATCTCCTTGGATCCCAAATTCTCTTTTGATCCCAAAATCTCTTGAATCCCAAAATCCCTTTGGATCCCAATCCCAAAATCTCCTTGGATCCCCAAATCTCTTTGGAACCCAATCCCAAAATCTCCTTGGATCCCAAATTCTCTTTTGATCCCAAAATCAAATTTGGATCCCAAAATCCCTTTGGAATCCCATCCCAAATTCCCTTCCCAACCCAAAATCCCTTTGGAATCCCATCCCAAATTCCCTTCCCAAACCCAAAATCCCTTTGGAATCCCATCCCAAATTCCCTTCCCAACCCAAAATCCCTTTGGAATCCCATCCCAAAATTCCTTTGGAGCCCAAAATCCCTTTGGAATCCCAATCCCAAATTCTCCTTGGATCCCAAATTCTCTTTCAAATCCCAATCCCATTTTCCCCCATTTTTTTCCCCTTTTTTCCCCATTTTTTCCCATTTCCCCCCCTCATTTTTCTCCCTGTTTTCTCCATTTTTTCCCCATTTCCTCTTGTTTTTTTCCCAATTTTTTTCCCATTTCTTCCCCATCTTTTCTCCATTTTTCCCTGATTTTTCCGCCATTTTCCCTCCGATTTTCCCCCAATTTTTTCCCATTTATTCCCAATTTTTTCCTACTTTTCCCATTTTTCCCCATTTCTTGGTTTTTCCCCCATTTTTTCCCCACTTCTCTGCCATTTCCCCTCCAATTTTCTCCATTTTTACCCCAATTTCCCCCCTGATTTTTCCCATTTTTTCCCCTTTTCCCCCCATTTTCTCCATTTCCCTGTATTTCCCCATTTTCTCCATTTTTCCTGTTTTTCTCCTTTTTTCCCCCCAATTTTCCTCCTGTTTTTCTCCATCTTTTCCCCATTTCTTCTTGTTTTTTCCCCAATTTCCCCGATTTTTCCCAATTTTCCCTTTTTTTCCCCATTTTTGCCCCTGATTTTTCTTCTCTTTTTCTCCATCTTCTCCAATTTTTTTTGGATTTTCCCCCATTTTTCTTGGTGGTTTTTTTCCCATTTTCCTTGTTTTTTCCCCCATTTTTCTTGGTGTTTTTTTTCCCATTTTTCTTGTTTTTTGCCCATTTTTTTTCCTCATTTTCTCCCCTACTTTTCCCTTTTTTCCCCCATTTCTCCCCCACCTTTTCCCCATTTTCCCTCCAATTTTCTCCATTTTTACTCCAAATTTCCCCATTTTCCCCCGTTTTTTCCCCATTTCCCCCCCAATTTTCCCCCATTTTTTTCCCATTTATTCCAAATTTCTCAGTGGATTTTTTCCCATTTTTCCCGATTTTTTCCTCATTTTCTCCCCTACTTTTCCCCTTTTTTTCCCCCATTTCTCCTCCATTTTTCCCCCATTTTCCCTCCGATTTTCTCCATTTTTATTCCTATTTTTCCCATTTTTTCCCCGATTTTCCCCCTGTTTTTTTCCCATTTATTCCCAATTTATTCCCTGATTTTTTTCCACTTTTCCCCTTTTTTCCGCCGTTTCTCCCCCACCTTTTCCCCATTTTCCCTCCAATTTTCTGCATTTTTACTCCAATTTTCCCCCGATTTCCCCCCATTTTTTCCCTGATTTTCCCATTTTTTCCCCCTTTATTCCAAATTTTTTTGCCCTTTTCCCCTTTTCTCCTTTTTCCCTGTTTTTTCCCAATTTTTTTCCCTATTTCTCCCCCATCTTCCCTCTGATTTTCTCCATTTTTACTTCGATTTTCCCCTATTTTTTCCCCAATTTTCTCCCAATTTTCCCCCCTTTTTTTTTCCCATTTATTCCCAATTTCTCTGTGGATTTTTTCCCCTTTTTCCCATTTTTCCC